CTAATCCAAAACTCGCACTTAGAGAATTTCGCGTAAAGCTTTTCTGCTCTCAGTGTTTCTAGAACTTGTCTTAAGTGCTGGCTATGTTCTTCCTTGCTTCGTGAATAGATAAGTATGTCGTCTATGAATACTATCACGAACTTGTCTAGGAATGGACGACACACCCTATTCATCAGGTCCATGAATACGGCGGGTGCGTTGGTTAGACCGAAGGGCATCACTACAAACTCGTAGTGACCGTATCGAGTTCGGAAAGTTGTTTTCGGAACATCACTCTCCTAGACTCGTAGCTGATGGTACCCTGATCTCAGGTCTATCTTTGAAAAATAACTCGCTCCCTGAAGTTGATCAAAAGGTCATCGATTCTGGGATGAGGGTAGCGGTTCTTGATAGTGAGTTTGTTGAGCTCGCGATAATCTATGCACATCCGGAAAGATCCATCCTTCTTCTTAACGAACAAGACTGGTGCTCCCCAGGGTGAGAAGCTTGGTCTAATGAATCCCTTGCTGAGCAGTTTGTTAAGTTAGCTGGATAATTCCCGCATTTCCGCTGGAGCTAGACGGTAAGGGGATTTGTCTACGGGGGTAGCTCCAGGAATTAAGTCGATTTGGAACTTGACTTGGCGCTCAGGAGGAACTCCGGGAAGATCCTCGGGGAAGATATCGGGAAAGTTACAGACTTCGAGGATGCTCTCGAGGTCTTTAACTTCTTGTTTTTCGTTGATGACATGGGCTAAGAATGCATGACACTCTTTTCGTAGGTATTTTTGGGCTTTGATGCATGAAATGATACGAAAGTTCGTGTTGAGTTTATTGCCATAAATAACGAGGGCTTCGCCAGATGGCAGATTGAGGCGAATGGCTTTTTCATAACAAAGAATATCAGCACGATTGAGGCTCAACCAATCTATGCCGATAATTACATCGAACCTTTTTATGGAGATTGGCATAAGGTCGATTGGAAAGCAATAATCATTTAGAGTGAGGGTGCATCCTATGAATACGTCGTTAGTACTCTCTTTCTTTCTGTTAGCCATCTTGACGGTGAATGTTTCAGTTAAAGGTTGGGATTTTTGTTTGAGTAAGTGTTTAAATGCATGACTGACAAAACTTCTCTCCGCACCACTATCAAAGAGAATACATGCATAAGAGTTGTCAAGGAGAAACGTACCCGTAACTACGATGGGATCAACAACTGCCTCCTCCTGTCCCATTGCTAGCACTTTCCCTGTGTTGCCAGCAGTCGTTGCTTTGGGGAAATTCGTCTTGAAGTACCTAGTTTCTCCACAACCATAGCAGGCTTGGCCTACTCCTGCTCTGGGGTTTTGGTTGGCTGGTTGTGCTGGTGTCTTGCAAAAACGAGCTGTGTGCCCCATTTTGCCATAGTTGTTGCATTGAAAATCACGACAGGGTCCGTGATGATGAAAGTTACACTTATCGCACCTTGGGAGGGTAGCAGCATATCTACTGGCATGCGCTTGAGCAGTAGGAACAGCAGCAGGAGTAGTAGCAGCGTAGACTGCCACAATTTGTTGCTTCTTAGAGGGCTCTTGTGAAGACTGGCCCTTGCGTTTGTTCCAAAACTTTATCTTTCCACCACTCTCCTTAGGTGGTTCGGGAGCGGCTCCTACGGATTCATGGCTGCCCCCATGATCTATCAAGGTCTGCGCCAGACACTTGGCGTTGTCGAATGTGAGAGGTTTAGCAACCAAAACGTTCCCTTGAGTTGGGGGTGTCAATCTCCAGATGTATCTCTCGACTTTCTTGCTTTCCGGGGTGACCATCCCGGGACACAGAAGAGCCAGGTCGCTGAACCTAGCAGTGTATGTAGCAATGTCGGAACCTTTCATCTTCAGGTTCCAGAGCTCTTGCTCCAGCTTTTTAATCTCGCCCCGTGGGCAGTACTCAGCGAGCATCAGTTCCTTCAGATTCTCCCAACTCATGGTGTTGGCCACCGACACAGTTAGGGATTTGACTCGGCTGTTCCACCAACTTAATTCTCTATATGTGAAGGTGCATGCGGCAAACTTCACCTTTCTTTCCTCGGGGCACGCACAAATCTCGAAAATTGATTCGATCTTCTCGAATCAATGAGTTAGGGCAATGACACCTCCATTGCCGTCAAAGGATTTGGGCTTCGCGTTCATAAAGTCTTTATAGGAACACTCCCTCGGGTTTCCCTAGCCACCATTGAGATTGAGGGGATGGGTACCACTTCCAGATCCGCTAGTGCCGTTAGAATTGATCTGCGACATTGCGACAGCCACAACGGCTGTAACTTCTGCTTGGAACACAGCAGGATCGAACTGAGGAGGTGGCAGCGGTGGAGGATTGTTGTTCTTTCGGTTGGAATTCTTCTTCGAAGGCATCTTTCTCTAAAATAATTTATGAGAAAAACGAAGATAAGTCCTCTACAATGGTCAGAAGTCAGGTGATATTGAACAGTGTATATCTTATCCTGACAGTTATAGTGTTCTATCAAGCGATTTACAGAGGAAGTCTACTTAATTCAAGTAAACAATCGCTAGAGAATGAATAGCAACACTTGGAATGAAAAGTGTACAATGTTTTTGGCTCTAGATAAAATACTCCTATAGTATTTTAGGTTGTGTGTTCGATTCTATTGATCTCTTTTGTATGGAGTTTGGTAAGTTTTAGACTTGCTGTGACACCACCATCACTCCCAAACACATGTTGGTCGCATCTCAAATGAATTTTAATGTTGAGGGTTAAAAAGGTAAAATATGGATTTATTTTGAAAGAAATGGGGGAAGGAGGGACCATTTTGGTCATTATGGAAACAAGTTGTGGGGATCGGGGTATTTAAACCTGTCACCCCCAGTACAAACCCTAACCCTAAACACCCTCACAGCCGCCACTCTTATACCTCCCTCTTCCAGCCGCCGCACCACCCATTTACTTCCGTTCGCCGGCCGACAAAGACCACCGCTACCCCTCCTGTTGTCGAAGTCGCAGCCACCGCTGAGCTCCTGCTTCTGGCGACAACGAAGACCACCAGGATTGAGCTCTTGAAGACCACTGACGTGGCTAGGAGCGTCCACTGCCACCATCTCTCCATGCCCACTTCTTCTTCTTCTTCTGCCTACCGTCGCTGCAAGCTACCGCCATCTCGCACCGCCTTCTCTTTTCTCCACTTCTTTCCGGTGGTTACATCACTGCTGGCAACCCGAAGGTCGCTATTTCTCGCCGACACCCCCCCGTCAGCCGCCTGCCACCGTGAAATGGTGGCTGAGTTCGTGGACTCGTGAAGCTGTGTTTGTGTTATGGTGTTGTGTGCGTGTGGTGTGATGGTTAGGGCTATAAGAGCTTTTCTTGGCCGGAAATCTAAAAAAGAACCCCACCGCCACCATGTACCTGAAGGGTTTTGAGCATTCTAACACTCCTAAGGTGTACATGCAACCCTAGAAACCTTGGATCTATGTTTGACTAAGATACATGCAAAATTGATTTTCCAAGGTTCATAATCCTATCTAGCATACATAGGGAACTTTAAACATAAAAGTAAGCTAGAAGAACATACCTTGTAGTAGTTTGGATTCCTTGAAAAACCTTGTGAGCCTAGCACCTCAAGTGTGATGCCTCAAATGTCTCAAACAACACCAAATGCACTTGGAATGACTTAGAGAGAAATGATACACTCTTGAAATCGGCTAGCCCTCACTTGTATGCTTAGTGGCCGATTTTTGGTGAACATAGGGATGCTTATATAGTGTGTTACAGTTAGGGTTACACCATGTAAACCCTAATTGTCATGACTTTTCATTTCCATGACCCATGGGTTCTATAACCACCATGGAGCATCCATGGAGCATCCTGTAGGTTTTATCCCAACTTGATAATCCATGGAGCATTAGCCCACTATACAAGTATGGATGATTTACACAATTAACCCATATATTTAATTAGTCTCCTTTTGATCACTTAATTAATTCCAAATTAATTCTTGATCAATTCTAATTAAATAATATTATTAATATATTAGAACTTATAATATATTAATAAACCTTAAGTGTTATTTCTCTCTTTTTAGTCTATCCAAATGCATGATGCCATGCAACCCAAATGGACCATGCTAATCGGGTCAAGTACATTCCAGAAATAGTTATGAACTTAGACACCTAATCCAACAGTCTCCCACTTGGATAAGTCTAATAACTATAACTGCACGAATGACTTCACGAACCGATCAGCAATCATAGCTCTTTCAAGGTCTAGCGGAACTGAGATGATGATGATACGCCATTTAAGATAAGTGATCATATAATCCTCTGTTCTAGATATCAGGTAGACAAATACATGGAACAATGCCTCACTTATTGTCCAGCAGTTTGTTTCCCGATTTCCGATTTGCTTGACATAGAACTTAATTTAACACATCAACTTATTCTGACCGGGCCCGGTACATGGGTCCACACAAAATCATCGAGGGGCCCAGATATCGCTTCTAATCCAAGAAGGAACAGATAAACTTCGACTCATATGCTTGTTCTACTACTTGTTGAATCATACACAAAGGCACGTTTTATAACATCGAGTTACCAATGCGTTTTTGTACAATCAATGTATAACCAACTCATAGGCAACAAGTCATATCTCTAGGTTTGAAGACTTATATGATATTACCATCTCACGATCACTCGAGATAAATTCCATGAAGTGATACCAGTGAGTGTGGGTTGAATCCAATACTCAGAACTTATGAGCACTCATGAGTGTTGTAGCACCACTTATTTCCAACATCTTAGACCTCTAAAAGCCAACCTATGACAGTCTTGATTCATATCTACTTCCAACATATGACCGACTATTGAGAATTTGAATAACATGAAATTACAATAACATAATTATTCTGGAAGTCAAAACATGCAAAATGAAACAATAGCAAACTATTGACAAAAGATAGCAACACTTTACTCATAAATAAATACAACTTTTATTCATCATCAAATGTCAATTACACATTACACATTTCAAAGCTATCTAACTACTAAAACTAATATCATCCTTCAGCCCTATGCGCCTAGCATGTTGGAGATGCTTAACCCTACCCAGTCCCTTCGTGAGGGGATCTGCCGGGTTCTCATCCGATGATACCCTCTTTGCCACGAGGAGTCCTTCTTCTATTCGATGTCTGATGAAATGGTATTTTCTGTCGATGTGTCTGGATCTCCCGTGATCCCTTGGTTCCTTGGCTAAGGCAACTGCACTTTCAATATCACAGAAAATCTCGATAGGCTCCTTTATAGCTGGTACAACTCCAAGGTCTCCAATGAAGTTCTTTAGCCATATAGCCTCCTCCGCCGCCTCGCTTGCCGCTATATGCTCTGATTCGCAAGTTGAATCAGCCACTGTCTCCTGCTTGGAACTTTTCCAAGAGATTGCTCCTCCGTTTAAGGTAAAGACCCAGCCTGACTGAGAGCGGAAATTATCCCTATCAGTCTGGAAGCTAGCATCACTATACCCCAATACTCTCAAGTCATCACTCCCACCGAGGGTAAGAACCCAGTCCTTAGTCCTCCGCAGGTACTTGAGGATGTTGTTTACCGCAGTCCAGTGAGCCTTGCCAGGGTTCCCTTGATATCCGCTGACCATGCTCAAGGCAAAAGCCACATCAGGACGAGTACAAGTCATAGCATACATGATCGAGCCTACATCGGAAGCATAAAGTACTCGACTCATCTCAGCTATCTCAGTCTCTGTACTCGGGCTCTAAGTCTTACTCAGTCTGGCGTTACTCTGGATCGGTAACTCTTCTTTCTTGGAATTCTGCATGTTGAATCTATTCAGCACCTTATCCAAGTAGGTACTATGACTAAGTCCAATTAGTCTTTTACTCCGGTCTCTCAAAATCCTTATCCCTAGGATATAGGCAGCTTCACCAAGGTCCTTCATAGCGAAACACTTCCCAAGCCAGGACTTAACTTCCTGCAGAGTTGGGATGTCATTTCCTATGAGTAGTATGTCATCCACATACAATACCAAAAACTGACTATACTCCCACTAGCCTTGACATATACACAAGATTCATCTTCACTCCTCGAAAATCCAAACTCTTTGACCTTCTCATCGAAGCAAAGATTCCATCTGCGAGGTGCTTGTTTTAATCCATAGATGAATTTATCTAGCTTACACATTCTATTAGGGTACTCTGCACTGTCAAAACCCTTTGGATGACTCATGTAAACATCCTCAGCCAACTTTCCATTAAGGAAAGCGGTTTTGACATCCATTTGCCATATTTCATAGTCATGAAATGCAGCAATGGCTAGCATGACCCTAATAGACTTAATCTTGGCTACTGGTGAAAAGGTCTCATCATAATCAACTCCCGGAGTTTGAGAAAAGCCCTTTGCAACCAGTTGCGTCTTATAAGTGTGTACATTACCATCCATGTCGGTCTTCTTCTTGAAGATCCACTTGCACCCAACTGTCTTACGACCTGGTACATTGTCAACCAAGTTCTAAACTTGATTGTCATACATGGATTGTATCTCGCTGTCCATAGCCTCTTTCCATTTAGCAGCCTCAGGGCCTGTCATGGCTTCCGTGTAGCTATTAGGTTCATCCAGACTTACCAGTGTGATATCACTGATAAGTGTATCACCTTCCGCAGTAATATGGAAACCATAGTAATGCTCAGGTGCATTCCTAACTCTCGTGGAACGCCTCAGTGGTACAGACTCTTCTGTCGGATCAACAGGAGTTTCCTCCTCAGGTTGATTGCTAGGGTTTGAGGTTCCTTCACCACTCGACTCTTGAATTTCTTCAAGGTCAATTTGCCTCCCATTGTTTCCTTGGCTTATGAATTCTCTCTCGCGAAAGACTCCTATCCTCGCTACAAAGACCACAGTATCACTGGGTCAGTAGAAGAGGTAACCAAAGGATCTCTGTGGGTAGCCGATGAAAATACACCTCTCACTTCGAGGTTCGAGCTTATTGTGAGCCTCACTCCTCACAAAAGCCTCGCAACCCCAAATCTTGATGTGGTCCAGATTGGGAACTTTTCCGGTCCACATCTCATGAGGTGTTTTGGCAACCTTCTTTGTAGGGACTAGATTAAGGATATGGGCGGCAGTCTCTAAGGCATACCCCCAGAATGAGATTGGTAGCGAAGCTCGACTCATCATGGAACGAACCATGTCTAACAAGGTCCGATTACGCCTCTCAGCCACACCATTCAACTGCGGTGTCCTGGGAGGTGTCAATTGTGAGATAATCCCACATTCCTTAAGATAGTCAAGGAACTATGTACTAAGATACTCACCACCTCGATCGGATCGAAGCATCTTAATGTTCCTGCCCAATTGATTCTCTACTTCCTTTTTAAACTCTTTAAACCTTTCAAAAGTCTCTGACTTATGCTTGATTAAGTAGACATAACCATATCTACTATAATCATCAGTAAAAGTCACATAATAATGATTAGCATCCCTTGTGGCAGTTTTGAAGGGTCCACACACATCAGTGTGTACAAGATCCAACAAACCTTCACCCCTAGCACATGTACCAGTGAAAGGTGACTTTGTCATTTTCCCAAGTAAGCATGATTCACAACTATCATCTGACTTTAGATCAAATGACTCCAAGACTCCATCCTTTTGGAGTTGGCCTATGCGTTTCTTGCTTACATGTCCAAGACGACAATGCCATAATGATGCTTTATCCAAGTTATTATTAGAAGAATCAATACACAACACATTATTTCCTAGATTGTCTACAACCGACACAACTTCATACACACCATCACAAGGTAATGCTTTAAAATAAAGAACATTATTAAAGAAAGCATAAATACCACCACTATCATTATCAAATGAAAAGGTAAAACCTTGTTTATACAAAGCATAAAAGGAAATAATATTTCTTGCCATTTCAGGCGAGTAACAACATTTATTCAAATTTAATGTAAACCCACTACTTAGAAACAAAGAATAAACTCCAATCTTGGTGACAGGTGAAGCTTTCCTATTCCCCATGATCAAGTTTATCTTTCCATGCTCCACATTCTCACTTCTTCTTAGTCCCTGCAAATCAGAACAAATATGAATACCACAACCGGTATCAAGGACCCAAGAGTTAGAATAGGGTGAGTTATTAGACAATATAGTGTAAATACCTGCATGGTTGGGTTTTACTTTCCCATCCTTAAGATCTTGCTGGTACTTTGGGCAGTTTCGCTTCCAGTGCGACTTTTCATGGCAATAGAAGCATTCAGCCTCTTTTGGGTCAGAAGAAGGAGTGACGAAACCTTTCTTGGTTCCACTTGAAGAGGAGCCATCAAGGAACTTTCCCTTGGTACCCTTCGAAGGGTTCTTCCTCTTCTTTCCTCTACCTTTCCCGATTGCCAAGACAGGGATGGAGTTTGGAGTAGGAGTGGTAGTGGTAACAACCGATTTACCCTTAAGACCACTTTCGGCGGTCTTCAAGAGTCCTTGAAGCTTGCTGAGGGTAACTTCCTCATTGTTCATGTGGTATGTCATGCGGAATTGATCATAACACGATGGTAAGGAGTGCAAAATGATATCTATTGCCAACTCCTCGGGGAAGTTCACATTCAGTTTCAACAAACGGTCCACATACCTTTGCATTTTCTGCATGTGGCCCGTGATGGGTTCACCATCCTTCATCCTGGTCGTTATCATGGAGGAGATGATTTCATATCGCTCTTGACGAGCACTCTGATGGTAGCGGTCCATCAAATCCTGGTGCATATCAAAAGGATAGTAGTCCTCATAGGACTTTTGGAGCTCGGCTGTCATAGTGGCCAACATGATGCATGCCACTTTGGTAGCATCCCTTTCATGGGCCTGATATTCAACGACCTCCTCAGGAGTAGCAGTCGGCTCGAGTTCTTTAAGCTCCTTGTCGAGAACATATTCCTTGTCCTCATACCGAGTGACCATTCTGATGTTCCTAATCCAATCCATAAAAGTTGGATCCATCAAAGATGACTCTCCAAAAAGATTCATGAGAGAGAAGGAGCCGGTAGGGTTTGAGCCAGAAGCAGCATTGTTGGAAGACATCTGAAAATAAGAAAGACAAGTTTAGATTAGATATAAAGATAATCCTTAATAAAACACCCAAATGTAATATTAAGGCTAGGACCCAACACAATATTTTATAACTTAGAAGAGGGATGTCGTAATCCAAGCTATAAAATATTTGAAGGTAGGTGGATCACGATTCACCAATTTCCACCATGAAAAACGAAATAAATTATTAGGTTTTAATTGGTTTTTGAAACTCCTAGATTCTTTGAGATTCATTGAATTTTTCAATGGCATGTTTCAATCTCGAGTGGGCCCTTCAGGCTTTGTGATTGGGATGCCGAGGATCACAAAACAAGGTGTGAAGTAACCATGCAAATTACTTGGTACCCTTAACATTTACCCCTCAATCGATGTGCCGGTTAACCACACGCTGTAACAGCCCAAATTTTCACGCCCAAAAATTTCATTTTTATAAATTACTTTAATTAAAACATTCGTAGGAAAATACTGTCGAATCATAACATCTCATAAAAAAATGTATTATGTTTGAAAAACCAAATCATAAAATAGTGATAATGTCAGAGCACAATCCCAAGAAATCTCATAGTGCGGAATCTGAGGTGTGTGTGTAATGTGCAGCTACCGCGCTGGCTCCTTCCCCTTCGCTGAAGAGGTACCTGAAACAAAACTGAAAACTGTAAGCACGAAGCTTAGTGAGTTCCCCCATAATACCACATACCATACACATATAAGGAACATCTAGGAGATACGGGCCCCGCCCACACGCCGCTAGCTGGGAGATACGGGCCCCGCCCACACTCCGCTGGTCAGGAGATACGGGCCCCGCCCACACTCCGCTATCACTGAGGTACGGGCCCCGCCCACGCTCAGCTACCTAGTCAAACATACAAGTATCACACAGACAACAAGTATAACTAAATCTATCATACATACATATAGCATGATCGAACTCAACTAGGAGATGCGGGTCCTGCCCACACTTAGATACTAACGTGTCGCACGTATACGGGCCAACCTTGGTGCCTTAGACCCGTTCCTACTGGAAGGAAACTCACCTCAAACGAGTAGCTGCTGATAATCTGTGCGAGGGAATCTCTGACTGCTGCTGCTCCGGAAATCCTCCGGCTATATTCCCCACAAAACACTTAATCAGAATATGGTATCTACCCTTTAGGGTAAAATGACTATTTTACCCCAGACCAAGTCCAAGTCAAAGTCAAAGTCAAAGTCAACGTCAAAGTCAACTTCCAATTGACCCGACTCGCCGAGTTGGGTCGTTAACTCGTCGAGTCCCTACCCCTTCATCTATCCTCTTCCACGTCCCTACTCCGTCGAGTTTAGCGATGAACCTTCATCCGACTCGCAGAGCGGTATGAACCTTCATCGAGCCCGTCTTCATCCTAAGAACACGTCCTGTCCTCGACTCACCGAGTTGTATGAACAACTCGTCGAGTTCATCTTCAAGGGTTGGGAGATTGCCTTGGACTCGCCGAGTCTGTTCTAGCGCTCGTCGAGTCCCATGAACTCCAGGTCAAAAATGAAGTCCAATGCGTTGGGTCACTCTTTCTGTCCTGCTACAACACTACTAACACCCAACTGAGTTCTTTTGACCCTCAACAGATATGGGACTCAAAGCCTTGGACTCGTCGAGTCCCAAGAATGGACTCGCCGAGTTGCTCACGTCCACACCCTAAATCCTCGATTTCTGATGTACAACTCATGACCAAAAGATAGATCTAGGCTCCTACAATCGTCCTAGCACGTAAAGTTACAAACTTTACGTGCATGCATGGGACTTTGAGTCCAAAAGGTCCTAAAACAAGCTCTTGGATTGCATGGAGTCTTCCTTGGGTGGAAAAGCACCCACTTTCTGCCTTGTGACCCCTCAAAGGACCTAGATCCGAAGCCTTGTCCCCAACCATGCTTGCATTCATGGTTGGCTACCTAAAATGGCTTATAAAAGCCCTAAATCTCCACAAAATGGGATCTAGCAAATGAACAAGCAAGTTAGCAACTTTATACCTTCTGAGGACTAAAAATGAAGCACAAACTCGAAACCCTCTGGTCTCCTCTTGTTTCCTCAAGCTCTTCTCCTTCCTTATTAAGACCACCAACACCAAGATCTACCAAAATGACTTAGATTGCTTCAACAACGGCTAGGGTTTTCTATAGAGGGTTTCTGGGAGCATAAGGGACGATGGAGGCTATATAAGGTTGTTTAAATAGGGTTCAAACCCTCAGTTTAGGGTTTTGTCCAGACAGAGTCTACTCGTGGAGTCCGGGACTCGACTCGACGAGTCCATCACTTAAATCTCGCGTCTCATACCGCTTCTACTCGGCGAGTTGGGCCTTCAACTCGCCGAGTCCCAGGCCAAAAGTGC